TTTGAGATACAGTACCGACTAGGCTTTAGAAAATAAAGCAGCAGACGCCTTATCTAGGAAAGTCAAGAAGCCCCAGTTAGCAACATTGTCAGTACCTATGATCCTAGATTGGGAAGCTTTGAAAAATGAGAGTGAACAGGATGGAGGACTGGGGAAGATCAGAGCCAATTTACTGCAAAACCCAGATAGTCATCCCGCTTACACATTGAGGGGAGTCCAACTGCTATATCAAGGGATATTCATTCTTTCAAAAGGATCGAGATACATCCTCAAGTTGCTACAAGAGTTTCATGGCAGACTGGCGGTACAATTGGAGGACATTCAGGAGCTCAGAAAACCTACTATCAGTTATTAGCAGAGTTATATTAGATAGGGATGCGTCGGGATGTAGAGGATTGGGTCCAGATATGATGTGGGCCAAAGGCACCACTACTTAGCCATGTTGCTAGCAAGATTGCTACAACCACTAGCTCTACCAGAGAGGGTGTGGGAGGAAGTGACGATGGATTTCATTGAGAGGTTTCCACGATCAGAGAGGTTTTCGATGATATTAGTAGTGGTGGATCGTCTGAGCAAATATGCACACTTTATCCCTCTAAAGCACCCTTATATCATGGTCATTGTAGCTACTATTTTTATACGAGAAGTGGTATGCTTGCATGGATTCTCATAAGTCATTATGTCAGACAGGGATGAGGTGTTTCTTAGCCACTTATAAAGGGAGTTGTTTCGTTTACATGAGACAATTCTGAAGAGTAGTACAGCCAATCACCCTCGGACAGATGGCCCAGACATAAGTCTACAACACAGAAAGGTGATCGAGGAGCACACACCATCGCACTACCGTTGACTTGCAAAGGTATGGAGGTCATTTTTAATCCTAGAAGTGTAGCTGTGTGCAGAGAGAGACGGTGGTCACAAGAGTGCTAATTAAGTTGGAAGGATCTGCTGGGCATGATGCCATGGGAGCCTTACAGACGACACGGGACGTTCCCAACCTTCCACCTGAGGCAATGTGTGACTTTTTTGTTTTTTTTTTTTTGGTGGGGGTTGAGAGTATTAATACGGCAACCAATGGGGCTGCTACCCCCCCCCACCCCCCCCTCCTTTGGGGATCAGTAAAACAATTCAATCACAATGTCAGAAAAGGATTAAAGAAGAAATTAATGAGGGGATTTGAATTCAAATTATGGGAGGGAATTAAATAAGGCAATGGGGGCTATTTTGGAGGGAATTAAAGGAGCTTATTTAAGAATTATTCTAGAGTTTATGAGGAGCATCTGTGATTTATTTTTGCTATAGTTTTCTTTCATATAGAGTTTCTAGCATCATCTAGGATTGGTGGGAGAGACGATCTACCTCTCGAATCTTAGATCACCTGGATTTTGCTTTAATGTTGAAAAATTAATACACTCGGACACTATTTTAGTTTTTTCTCTTGTTTGCTCGTTGTTTTTACTTTCAAGGCATATCAGTTTCCACTCATACTTCAAGGGTTTGATTTGGGCTTAAATTGGTACACATTCGGTACCATTAAGTTCATCTCATAAAGATGTTCAAATTGACCAAAAGTTTGCTGAAATTAGAGTTCACATGGTATCAAATTTAATTTCAAAAGTTTCTAATTCTAAATTGCCTCGAGATTCGTGCCAATTTGCATAGGCTTTTTCTAGATATATCATTTTCCCTCCTATTTTTGGATATCAAAGTTTATTACATCCAAAAATATATTTTAAATCTTAAAAAATCATGCATTTTTTATATTTTAATTTTATATTTTAAAAAAAATCTTTTTTTAAGAATTTTTTTCCTATATAGATTTTTTATTGAAAGAGTTTTTATTATTATTTTATTATTTTTTAAATATTTTCATTAAAAAAATTTAAAGATTTTTTAAAGAAATATTTTTTAAAAGAAAAAACTAAAAAAAATTATTTTATATTTTTAACTCTTTCATTTAAAGCCATGTAACTCCCTTCTTGTATGTTATATAACTCTCTTCCTTAGAATTGCATAACTCTCTTCATTAAAATCATGTCACTCTCATCATTAAAATTGTATAATTTTCTTCATTAAAGTCATGTAATTCTCTTTTTGTTGTCATGTAACCCACTTTCTTAAAGTTACATAGCTCTCTTCTTTAAAGTAATATAACTCTATTTATTTAAAGTTATATTTCTCACATCCTCTCCCTTCAATTATAAATATCCCTTCATGGGATAAAGAGTTTGCACCACTTCTCTCCAATCTTCTCTCGCTCCCCTTTTCTTTCTCTTCTCCAATTCTTTTTACATGAGAGTCATTCCACTATCTTGTGGAATCCCCTATAAAGTTTCAATGCTTGTCTCCATAAAGAACAAGTGGCTCTTGCCCCCTTTTTATTTCTTTTCTCCACATTTTCTCACATGGGAGGCATTCCACAATCATGAATAATCAGATCCTCTATCAAATTCCAATGCCCCTCTTTATAGAGAATGAGTGGCTCTTGCCCCCTTTTTTTCTCTTCTCCACTTTTTATATTAGAGGCATCCACTATTCTGAATAGGTTGTATCTCCTATCAAGTTTTAGTGTCCCTCTCTGTAGAGAACAAGTGACTCTTGCCCCTTTTTCTTTCTCTTCTCCACTTATGCTCATATTAGAGGCATTTCACTGTCTTGAATGGTTGTTATCCCCTATCAAGTTTTAGTGCCTCTCTCTGTAGAGAAAAAGTGAACGCTACTTATTCTAACTGCTACATGTTTATACTAATTTGGACGAAATGATTACATATATACTATTTCTATTGACTGCATTGATTGCAGTTGTAGATTCTAATAAGCTGCTGAATTGTTAAGCTCACTCTGTGGTTTTCATATGTTTTTTATAAAGGGGTCATGATCAAGTAGAGTGGGGCTGAATAGAATTTTCAAGTTTAATTTTGTTTTCTCTGTTTTAAGTTTTATTCTTTTATAGTCAAAATATTATAAAAAAGATTGATATATTGATTGAACTTTTGACTATAGTAAGTATATTTTAGATAAATGATAAATATATTGAAATGTTTTTGATGTGTTAGGTTTCTTCTATTAGCTTTATTTAATAAATGAAAATTAGTGGCTCTAGTAAATTAATTAACAGATAAAATAGGCAATTCTTTCAAATTAGATCTTAGGGCATTACAATGAGCGAGTGATGCGAGTGAGCACTTCCACCCTTTGAGCGAGTGGTCTAGCAATCCTCAATGGTCTAGGTTACAAGGGCATTCTTAGATGTCCAAAGCAACAATAATTTTACGGCAAATTGGGTCTTCTGTCCATCTTATCCCTGGGATGAATTATTTACCTTTCTCAACCTCAATCTTGCTCACTTCTAGGGGCAAATACAAATAGGCAAGTGTCTAAGGAGCACTTAACCACCATGTTGTATTCATAAACATTCTTGTGGCTATTGGCTAGTTCCAATAATTTAGCAAGTGTTCTAGGTTGTTGCAAACCAAGTGCATAGTGAAAATGACCCTCTCTTAGACATTGGTTCATAGCAACCTGGGCGACTGTAGGCTCTTGGTCTTTCACATCAAATATTTCTCTCCGAAAACTCACCATGAAGTTCCTTAACGACTCCCTCAACTCTTGCCTCATCTTTAGGAGAGCTTGTGTGCTCTTTTGAGAGTTATGGGCACTAACAAATAATGTTTCAAACATCCTTACAAGCTCTAACGAGGGGATCACTTCCACCAGTAGATGAGTGAAACACCTTGATGCCAACTCCTTAAGGTCTATGAAGAATAGACAACATTTCAAAGCATCATCAATGTCTAGGAGGGAAGCTATGGATTCAAAGGTGGCAATATAATATGTAGGGTCAATCCTACACCTTTAGGATTCCAAGTGTGGCACTTTGAACCTGGTAGGAAGCCTAGATTCTGTGATCTCCCTTGAAAAATGCATTGGAAAGTTCAAGTTCACCTCTTCAAGCTCGCCTACTCCACGGTTATAGTCTTCATCACTCGTTAACATGTGAGTGGGAACTAGTACTAGTGTTGAAGTTGGTGCTTGATCATTTAGTCTCTTGCGACGAACTATGGAGTCAAATGAACCACAGGGGTATTATCCCCCAATGCTCGCCTTAGTAGCCCTCCCAAGGCATCCTCGATCGTTGTTGTTATCTTCTCCACCATCTCCATTAGGTCTCAGAGAGTGCTATAGTTGGTGTTCTATATGTCCACTGACGGCTCAGGGGAACTCAATAAGGTTAAGATGTGCATTTTTTCTAGTCACTAGCATCAATTCATGCTCGCCGCACCTTTCAAGATGTTATATCCAAATTTGTCCATAGATGATACTCGACTATACAAGTAGGTTGACTCTATGAGTGGGTGACCTAGAACCTGTGTGAGAAAGAAGAGAAGGGGATGTACAAGATAAAGGTTATAGTAAAAGTAATCAAAAGCTCGATCAATCCAAGATCAATTAATAGGTCCGTCAAAAGATCTAGAAATGTTCCTCTTCACCCTCTATTTATAGGAGGATTTGAGGGATATTGAAAAGATTACACCTTAAAAAAAAGTAAAAAGTACAATGCTACACAGACTATCCCAAACATGTGTCACACTTGTTTGATTGAGGGAGAATAGGGATTGCAAAGCTCTGATGATCTGTCGTTGGGCTAGCTGAAAAAAGCCAAGTGTGTACGAGGTAAGTCTGGTAGTGACGACTGTGTGCGAAGAAAATCTGTGAGCGATTATCGAGCAAGGGGTGCTTAATGGCTGAATTATATCTAGGCGCGGAGTTATTGAAGACCTGTGTTGAGCCTTGAATCCTATAACAGAAGGCGAGTGAATTGAGGATGCGACGAAGATGAACTAAGTAATTAGCTGCTCGGTGGGTCGAGATGAGGGCTCTTTGGGTAGGTGTTTTCCTATAGTTGGACTTGGATGTGCGGGGAATGAAGACACTTGCCCTTGGCCAAGGCGAGTCATTGCGATGGCTACCTCCCTTCCACTAGGCAAGTGACAATTTACTTAGTTCATGAGATCCTCCATTTCCCTCTGGGAGGAAAGAACTTCCTTCGTAGGCCCAGGCGGGTGGAGCTTGATGTTTCTTGGGCGATTTCCTCTGTAAGGCCCATTGGATGTGAGTTCTCCTCGTAACCCATCAACTATCTATTAGATACCTATAAAGGCATATGCGATCATGCATCTAGTAGCATACCTAAATTAAATGCATTTATAAATAAATGGTCCAAACCTGTGAAGGCTTATGCGATTATACATCTAGTAGGCATACATAAGTTAAATGCATGTTTGAACCAATGGTCCAAGCACCTTTGCTGTTAGCTATTTCAGAGCAAAATGCTTCTTTATGCTTCCCAACCTCCACAGAAGCTGCACAAGCATTATGTTTTATTTCTCTTAAGTAGTCTTCACTTTTAATAAATTAACAACATCGAAGAAGAATCTGAAGGATAGGAATTAATGTGAGGTCAATAAAGACATTTATAATATCTAAAAGCAAGATAGCATCTGCACACGAGAGGTATGTGCATGCAGAAGAAAATAATAGAGCCGGGGTAGCAAGAAAAAACGACAGAATTGTAGATCAGCAATACTAAGTAGAAAGACAAACCAATCTAAAGAAGGCACAAAACCACCAGATAGCAACATAACAAAAGAATGATATGGCCATGCAGCTTTGTCCCATTTACCCTAAATGATTTGGAATTTATTATACAATTGATACAGGCTTATAAGTCCTTTATATTTTTGGTGTTCAAATGCCATGGAGCATCTTTTACGAGGTAACTAGATCAGAATGCAAATTATATTGTGCTAAGAATAACTGTTACTACAACCATTTCAATGGAAGGGGTAAGATACAGCAAAAAATTAACATGCCCGAGAATAAATGCCCAAATATGCATATTGCATCTATATATAGGGAAGTGTTGGTGCGTAGATACCAACCTTAGCTAGGTCGGGGAAGTTTATAGGCAAAATCTCCTTGGATGGAATTTTTGATAAGTCTGCAGTTAGAAGGACATGCGCATCAGCTTTCAATTCAATGGGGTTGCCAGTTGTATTGTGAACTTGGAGTTCAGGACCCACAGTATCCAGCATAACCTAACAGGTTAAAAGATTTAATACAAACAATAGCAAGATGAACGAGCAACCTTACAAGCACCACAAGGAAATTTTGGAATTTTCAAATCTTCTATGTACATTTATCAAACATAAATAAGGAAAAAAAACAACAAAAAACATTATAATTTTTCTAAGTTTTAATGAATTAGGACGGTAACAATAAAACGTTAAGTACATGAAAAAAATGTTCTAATAATGAATGTGTTAAATATCTAAAAGTTAAAAGTTAGGAAATTTATTTTAGGAATGTATTTTTTAGAAAAGATTGATTGTGATCTTATCCTATTATTTTGTTTCCTAATTAGAGAATTTATTTTAGGAAAGTATTTTTAGGAATAAAAGGAGATATTGATTATGATATTCTCCTATGATTCTATTTCCTAATTTTTAGGAAAGAATTAAGTTAGGTAGTTATTTCCTTTATTAGATATTTTTTAGTGTATATGATTCTATTTTCTAAATTTTAGTAAAGAATTAAGTTAGGTAGTTATTTCCTTTTGCAAGTGGACCCCACCCCTTGGCCCTTTCCCTCTTCCGCCTCCCCCCTGTTCCGTTTCCGCCTGGAGAAGACCCGGACCGGCTGAGCCGATCCAGGTTGGGCTGGTCCAGGCTGGACCGGCCTAACAGATTCTTCTCATATTCTCATCACAGGACACAAATTAAATGGCCAGAATTATTTGCGGTGGTCACAATTTGTGTTGTTGTTTATTTGTGAAAAAGGAAAGGATGAGCATCTCACGACAGCAGTAGCCATGCCAGAGACTACAGATCCGAGTTTCAAAAAGTGGAAGATTAAAATAGTATGATTATATCATGGTTTGAGTTTCAGAAAGTGGAAGATTGAAATAGTATGATCATATCATGGCTTATCAATTCAATGAATAATGGCATAGGAGAAAATTTCTTGTTATTTGGGATTACCGAAGAAATATGGGATGCATCCAAAGAAACTTACTCCAACTCTATGAAAATACTTTAGAGTTGTTTCAAGTTGAATTAGTACTTCAAGGCTTCCGTCAAAGAGAGCACTCTGTTACTTGTATTACAACACACTCACACGGTATTGGCAACAACTTGACTTATTCAAAACTCTCTCAAGGGCATGTACAGAAGATGTAGTAATGTACAAAAAGATTGTAGAACAAAAAAGACTTCAAATTTTTCTTAGGACTAAATAGGGATTTGGATGATCTTCAAGGTCGAATCATGGGCACTAAACCACTACCCAATCTTAGGGAGGCTTTCTTTGAGGTTAGGCAGGAAGAAAGTGAAGATGGGATCTAAGGAACAACCCGCATCAACGTTGGATGCATATGCCCTTGTTGTCCGATCAATTAACAATAATGGTGGAGATCGTCATAAACAGGAAAGGTGATGGTGTGATTATTGTAAGAAGCCAGGTTATTACATGGAGACTTGGGGGAAACTCCATGCCAAACTAGCTGCTTGGTAACCAAAGCCACGATTTGATAGAGACAGCAAAGCACATGTGGCTTCCAACTCTGAGAGTGCTCGTGTTCCCGAGTCTAGCCCGTTTAGCAAAGAGCAGATGGATTTGCTGCAAAAATTATTTAGTCAAGTTGTCAATGGTAGCATTACTGAAACAGGTTTGATTGATCAAACAAACTCACGAACAGCCTTCTCTATTAACAGAGTAGAAACAAGGTCGTGGATAATCGACACTAGTGCTTCTAATCATATAACAGGAGATGCTGCCCTTCTCTAAAATTACAAGCCAAGTGGTGATCACTCATCTATCCGTATTACTGATGATTCAAATTCTAAAATTGTTGGAGCAGGTTCTATCCAACTTTAAAGAGTTGTATCTCAACTCTGTTCTCCATGTTACAAACTTGGATTGTAATCCTTTGTCCATTAGCAAATTAGCTCATGATGTATTACTAAACTTTATCCTCATTTGTGTGTTTTTCAGGATGATTGGCAGTGTTGAACTATGCTTCAGGCTCTATCTACTCCCATGTGATAGATCCTCAAATCAAGTTTCTCAAACAAGTTGAATCTGCTCTCATAGTCTATTAGAATCTTTCAATTTCATGTTTAAATCCAATGTCAATAAAGATAATGAAATTATCTTGTAACACTATCATCTTGGTCATCCCAACTTTCTGTTATCTTGTAAAATTATTTCCCAAATTGTTTATCAATAAAAATTCAACATCTTTTCATTGTGAAACTTGTCAGATTGCAAAAAATACTAGATTTTTCAAATTCCATACAAACCTTCAACTGCCTTTCTTTGATCCAAAGTGATGTGTGGGGTCCCTCAAGGATAAAAAATATTTCTGTCACTCAAAGGTTTGTGCCATTTGTTAATCATCATACAAGGTTAACTTGGATTTTTCTTATGAAATAAAAGTTTGAGATAGGGCAAATTTTTCAAACCTTCAATCTTATAGTTCAAAATCAATTCAACTTTAGAATTCAAGTACTCAAGTCAAATCATACATGTCAATGGGGAAAAATGTTGTGCGCCATGGCGCACGGCCTGGCGCGAAGAGGCGCATAAAAATAGCGCGCGTTATTTGCATCATAGGCAATGGCGCATGGGAAAGGCGCACATAGCACACGCTATTTTGTTAATATGTTATAAATTTCAAATTATAAATTTTAATTTAATTTTTTTAGGTTTATATATTAATATCATAATCAATTATTAATTAAATAACCTTCAAATTAATAAAATATAAAAAAAAATCTACAGGATTTAATTTTTTTGTAGGATTTAAAGTTATCATTTTTTTTATTAGGCAGGATTTAGGATAAATTATGCTTAAATCCTGCTCAATCTATTAATGTAACTTTATATAATATTTAAAATCATCATTTTTGCAATTTGACAGCATATGTATGCCTAAATTTTAGGCTAATCAATCTATTATTTGTTATTTAATGGTATTTAATATTAATATATATATATATATATACATTGTTTTGAAAATCGGACCGGACCGGCCGGTCCGACCGGTTCAACCGTGAACCGGTCTGATGGCCGGTCTTTATTTGTCTATTGGTAGTATTGGCATGGACTTTATGTTTGTCTCAATCCTTCTAGTGATACTTGTTTTAATCTAGTCAAGACGATTGCATTTCAACCTGCAGAAATAATTAGAGTTTTTGCCTGTCCTATTCATTGAATTAATTTGGACAGATTCCCTTTGTCCTTTTTTGCTTTAAACTTTTTTTAGTGTAGCACTTGCTACCTCACCTCTGATATTCTTCTCATGTGTTTCTATTGTTTCTTTTGCTGATTTGGCGTTGATTGCATTAATAGGCACCATTATATTGAATCATAACAAAATGAGTAACAACAAATATTATGTCTTATGAAATTCGCTTTTTTAGAATAATTTGTTTATATATTGTTTTACCTTCTGGCTATTTTTCATATACATCTATTTATTAAAGGCGATATACAATATTTTTAGGGGGTCTTCTAACCAAGATTGTTGGAACCCCTGGGCCAAATCCAACTGTTCTATTGAGTGAGCTGAGGGTATGTTTATTTAAGCCAGTGAATGTTCACGGTTTTGTTTCTTAGTGTGTTGCAAATGTTTGCTTCCGTGTTTTGTTATATCATTGCTGTTGTTATATATTTTGCTGAGTTTGTGGGTCGTTCTTGTTAGTTTGGCACGCTGTAGCGGACGTTTTTCGATGCTTGAGGTGTCTTCATTTACTCATCAGGAGGCACTTTGAAATTGAAAGCAAGTGATAAATGGTGGAACAAGCTATTGTGGAGATTAATGCCTACTTAAGATTCATTTAGTTAGGGCCCAGAAGCTAATGCTTAATTGGAACCTCGTACAAAGAGGAGACGCATTTTCTTCTGCAAATTGTATCAGAAACTCCAAGTGTATGCTGCTATATGAGACTCTAGATAACCTGATAAAGTGGACTAATACGCATTTTTTATGTTTGATTTGCTAGCATACATATACTTAACAATCTGGACTTGTTGAAAGTCTCTCTTTTTATGTCATCTTCTTTAGCAGTTGCTATATTGTTCGTTGGGTTATGTGTGAGAAGTGGGAGTTGAGCGTGAGTTAAGATCGTCCATCTATGGTTTAAATGGTATATAAGTTGGGCTAATCTAGTTAGTTCCTTGGTGTCAGAAATTCACGTAGTCAAACTCATTTAATTTTGAAAGTAATCCATTCTATGCTTCAGTATAAAGTAGTGCCTATATAGGCATTTAGCCATTATGCAAGTGGATTTGCCTCATTTGCATTCAAAATATTCATCAATAATTTCAAATCTCCCGTGGTATAGGAGCACTTGTGGCTTATCACTTCATATCGCACTGTGTTGTACGCCCATCACCTATGTTGGACCTTACAACAAAACATGCGTTCCTTGCAATTATACTCTCTTTCGTTGAGTCGATTCGCGTATATTGTGCTGTGTCTTTGCACTAATGAAATCTCTTTTTCTCCATAATTGTGGGTCTCCTCTCACAATTGGTTGGGATGTAGAGGCACTACCATCCTATTGTGAATATTCTTCTTAAACTTGTTGGTGATAATATTTTTTGGGGCTATAGGGCATACAATACTGGTGCGGTGACCAAAATGGTACTCTACTCTGTTAATCAATCTAATGAGCCTAAATTCTATAACTTCGAATACTCAACTCGCTCTAATCAAAAACTGGAGTTTTTTAATCTTCTCTGATTGATGATGTCAATACAAAAGGCGATGGCCAATAGAAGTAAAAATCAGCTAATGACTGGTGGTAAACAACAAATACGCCTACAAAGATGACGAAAGGAGAAAAGACAATCTGAGGTCAGCAAAATGAATGAAAGGCGTTTTTGATTGCATCTCCAGCTCTGGATCATGCCAATTTGCTCAAGTTGTTTTTGAACACAATATCATGATATTGATTCTGAAAGATGGAGGAAATGGCTAAAGCAATCCACTGTGGGGTATTACAGACAAAGTGTAGTTAAGCAAGGGTATAAC